TACCCTAATACATATTTCATTTCCGCACCGGTATCATCTTCAAGAACATCGATGAAAAAATTCCACAGCATTGTTTTAAACTGCAGGGTGTCTACTACCTGAAAAAACCTGGAAAACTGGGAATTTACAGGGAATTTTATTTTTTCTGGAAAAACCTGGAATATTCAGGGAATTTTGGTTCCACTCAGGGAATTTTCCATTTATCACTTCATTCGTAATTCAAAAGAAGTTTTTCGTTCAGTTTCTCGAAACGTTTCTTAAGGACATTAGCATCTGACAGCTAAGACAACGTGTGCGAACGAGACAAGTTCATTCAGAGAGTCTTGTCACGCTCGCTCTTCGCTGATTTGTATGTGGAGGATCAAAATCGTCGTAAAAAGGAAACAGCCGAAAAAGAGAGACTGGCAACCGTCAAAAGGAAGCATACGAAGCATGTATTGTATAAGAGTAAGCATGCCAGACAGCAGGTCTGAGACCCAACATAGAATTTGTTTTTGAGCTTCAGAGAGGGTCGGAGATCTACTGAGAAATTTGTTGAGCTTCAGGGTAGTTCGTAGATCTTGAGAACAGAACTACAAACAAATTAAAAGTTATTAACAGAAATTCATAAAAACAAAATCACAGGAGAGGTCGTAGATCTTCAGATAAATGTTCAAAGAAATTTTCAAAACTTCAAGCAAGCAAAAATAATTTCAAATCAATTTGTAAAACTATAAGCGAAATTTTACAAATCTTCAAGGAAATTCCCATAGCTTCAGACAAGTCCAAGAATCTACACTGAAATATAAAGTATTTCACAGAAGTTTGGAGATCCTCGAAACATTATTCAACATCACAAAAGTTCGTAGATCTTCAGAACAAAGCTACAGAACTTTGAAAAAAATCACAGGACTTCTGAAAAAATCACAAGAATCTCAGAAATGTTAATGGATCTTCAGTAAAAATTGCAGAACTACAGGGATTTAAAAAAAATAAATATTTACACGATTTCAGGAAAATTTGTAGATCTTGAGAGAGACATTTAAAACTTCAAGGCAGCTCAAATATTTTCTGATAAATTTTGACAACTTTATGTAATCTTCAAGGAAATTTTCAAATCTTCAGGGTAACCCTAGAGGAATTTACAAAACATCAGAGAAGTTTGCAGATCTACTGAGAAATTTATGGAGCTCCAAGTTTTTTTTTGTAGATCTTGGGAATAGAGCTACGGAGCGTAAGACATCTTTACAGAACTTTATAGATATTTGCAGGAATTTGACGGAAAGTTTCACATTTTCACAGTTTCACACAAATGTGAGATCTTACGAAAAAAATTTGTTGAATGTCAGAAAAGCACCTCAATTCCAAAAACAAATCGCAGCGAAGTACAAAAGCACAATATTTTGCAGAACTCCATGGAAGTCGGAAATAGATAAATCTAAAGAACTTAGATCCGTAGACCTTAAGAGAAGTCTGTAGAACGTCAGAAAATTCGTACGTTTTTAGAAAAATTTGCAAAGCTTCAGCAAAACTCGCAGATCTTCGGGAAAGTTCGCCGATCTTTAGATCAAGAATCCACAAAGAAATTTAAATAACTTTAGAAAAGTTCGGAGATCTACTGTGAAATTTATTGAACTTAAGGGCAGTTCGTAGATCTTAAGAGCAGAAATACAGTACTTCAGAAAACTTTACAGAATTTGAAATAAATTTTAGGAACTTTAGAAAAGTTCAGAGGGTGTAAATCTACTCAAAAATTAGCAGAAGTTTAAATAAATTTTCAGAATTTTACTGCGGTTCTTGGATTTTGAAAGACATTCACAGAACATCAGGTAAGTTCGCTGATCTTTAGAGATATTTGCACAGCTTCAGAAAAATTAGAAAAACTTCAGAATACTTCCTAAAACTTCCGGAAAGTTCAAAAATTTCTAGATAATCTTTTAATTCTTTAGAAAATTGTATAGATATTCAGAGATATATGCAGATATTTTTGAATCATGAAAATCTGCAGAGAAAATTACATAACTTTCGAGAAGTTTGTAGATTATTAGAAATGTTGTGAACATCAGAGATAATTGTTGATCTTCAAGGATCTTAAATCTTCAGGGATTCAGGAACTTTTTAGGTTTTTAGGAAAATTTGCTGAACTTCTGAAGAACACACAGAACTTCAAAGAAATCTGTAAAACTACTGAGACATTTGCAGATTGTCAGGAAAGATTGTTGATTTTTAAGGAAATTTTACCGGAGAACAGAAACAAAACTTCAGGGACGTCAGAAGGTTTGAAGACCTTGCAGAATTGAGTTGTTAACAGAAATTTTCATAACTCAAGGAATCATGTATATCTAGTGAGAACTTTTCCCACTAGATTGTCTAAAGTTGGTATCGACATCCTGGCGAAGTTTTGAAATCCATTTTCATCTTCATATCACAGCTCTTGATGGACAAGATGAGCCAAATCCCTGCCGGTGTTCCTCCTGAGCAACCATTTCCTACTCCACAAAGTTCACCTTCTCTTTCTCATTTTATTTAAAATAATAAAAGCAAATACGTTTGCCGTAACTAGAGCAATTTTCCGGTAATTCATGATGGAAGTATTTACTTTTGATTCCTGATACAGTTTTATTTTGAAATCTAAATTGACAGTTCTTTCGACATGTGCAAGCAGTGTGAACACCAGCAAACAGGGGGGTTCGATAAAATAATAATGTGTATAATTTGTATGCACCTGGAATTTTTTTCATCCGACCTGGAAAAACCTGGAAAACTCAGGGAATTTGATTCCTTGGATTGAGTAGACACCCTGAACTGGCTTGCAAGCTTCCAACCCATCTGTCCTTTTCAGGACCACAAATGACTGATAAAATAGTTAACTAAAGAGTTCAAGTAAGAGCTTGCATCCAATACATATCGTTCAGGATTGACTTGTACTACATGGACACCGAAAGAGCTCCTCAAAAACAGAACTCTCAAATTGCTTCCGAATTTCAACCTATCGAACTTTTTCACTGATAACGAGTTACGAAAACAATTAAATATTAACTATACTTTTGCTGTGACATCAAAACCACCTTTCGTAATCCTACGTCAAATCTACGGTCGTGTCTTGGATATAACCTCTTACTTTTTTTTATTTGTTTTCCGTCGATCTTGTTTTCCGTACCAATGCTACCGACGCTAAGGAGGCAGCTCCCACACCTGGACCCTACCTATCGACCCATCAACTCATGAACCGGGGACCAACGGCTTTACTTTCCTTCCGGCGGAACCGACTGGGATTGAAGCCAGGGATTTTGGGATGAGAGACAATCACGCTTACCACTACACTACTAGCGCCGCTTAAAAAAAAATAATATATAATCTTCATTTTATGAAATTAAATGTCATCTTTTTGATTGAGTATATGACAAATAATCTCTTAGTCCTACGTCAGTAATGCGGAAAACAACCACTATTGTTTTTTTTTAATTTAAATTGTATGGATGATTTCATTCAGGGGAAGGGGAGTCTGAAACCTCAAACAAAAAACTCCACCTGGTATATGTGTTCTCGTAAACAACACATACAGATCATATAAAAATCCCAAACTTACATATTACATCGTTAGGTTTCTGACACATACGTAAGAAATGTCACTATTTTCCCAAACAAATATCCGTGAGTCGTGAATACGAAAATCTCATAAATCCTCAGATAAGCAAAATCCTCCACTATAACGCAATCCGCTATCGCCAAATGCTTCGTTTAAGAACATACATTTATTCATGTCAGTATCACACAGCACTGCCATCGCATCACCGAAACACACAGGCACAATAACTCCACAGCTAGTCACGAGTTCTCAACTACGATCCAGCAAAGTCATAAACAACCGCCAGTTTCCTGCTACGTGCCACCGTCCGGCATCGTTGTCAGGCAAACTACAACCACCATCACCGCGTCAAGCGGTACCAGTAGTGAATTTTTGTGGAGCTTCATAAATTCCATCAAAATTTATATATCTTGCTTACGAGCGTGTTCATCGAAGGAAAATCCCTTTTCCCGTACAGTAAATGAAACGGCCATATCTCTTGAGCGCGGCCGTTTTGCAAGATCTATTCAGTGAAGCGTCTTCCTAGTTTTATATGCAGTCATTGAAGGGGGGTTTTTGGGTGCTGTTTATAAAGTGCAAGGCAAGTTTTATCCTTCCAATAAGGACAATAAACTTTGAAATTTGATTCTGCTCAAGTAGATGGAAAATTGATATAAGCATGCTGCTGCCCTTGCTGATGCCGTTGGTCTAAAGTTTTCCACTTTGGTGCCTGGTTTTCGGGTTTGCAAAACATGAAAGCTTAGCCGGAGAAATCCGGGTGCTGTGGTTCGGGAGGCCACAAATTGCTCGGCCAATTTGGGTAATCTAGGGATACCAGTAAAATATTTCGCAGCGAATTTTCCCCTTTACAAGCAATCGCCAAAATCATCCCTACGCCCATCGACTTGTAATCCAACCAAACCGAGTTGAACTAAATTGTACGGCTACTCTCTGTAATCCGGATTGGGCTCCGACTGACTCCCATCCCTTTCCTCCCGGCTTCATGGATGCAAGCACGGGTCACCGGATTCAAAAGTTCCAAACAGCACTGACTGCAGCAAAAATAGCTCGACTTGATGTGGTGGTAAATTGATTCAATTTTTCAAGAATGTTCCAAGTCCTTTACTACACTTTGTGTTTTAGTGGACCCATGCGGAGCCACTGTCATGGCGTTCTGTCCGTTTGTAATAGTTTGTTCTTCTCCTTTCCGTGAAGGAGCAAAGTTTCACGTTTATTGGATTTCCTCAAGTATTTTGCGTCCACAGAGAATATCAGAAAACTAGTGTGAAGCCAGAGGCGGATGAAGGGTTCGGATCGTAGACTGGCTCAGTATCATATTTAGATTCATTTATTGATTTGTTTATAGTTGAAGAAACAAATGACGACCGGACGCTACGCAAACCCCCTCACGTACGCCTATGTTCAATGGGTACATTTACCGAACACAACTCACCTGTGCAGCTATCCGGCCACGTTTCAGTCTCTGCAAATCGGTGTGACTCCAAGCACTTTTCGACCACGGTGATATCTGCTTCAGATCGTCGTCAAATCTGTGTGCGGCAGAAAAAAAAATAAAATAAAACGGAAAAAAATAAGCGTATATTGGAAAGTGATAACAATCTAGTAAATTTGTAGTACCGAAACTCGTTGAGTTGATTATGTAAAAACTTCCTAATGTTCCACGGCAGATCGTTGTGTCCGTCGATTAAAGGCACTGTTTCGAGCAGCTGGGCTGCGGCGTGGAGTCGTTCCTCGAGCGGTGCCCCGGCCGAAACCTTCAAGGCAAACGGGACGGCCACACCGGCAGCACCCGCTATCAGCAGGATCGAAGTCACCGCTAGCCACTGGCGCGAGGGCAGGTCCCACTCTACCGGAGGGAAAGTGAAAGATACAGAGAGAGAGAGGGAGGGAAAGGTTTGTCAGAATAATGAAATAAACAAGAGAAGATTATTGGATTACGCCACAACATCAGCAGGATGCCCGTACGGGAAAACAATTTTTACGGATTTTATTTCCTGGTGCTCTGGGTTGGCTGTGGGAACTCACCACCGACCAGTAATGCGCCCCCGGTACTCACTAAGGGGATTGCTCCACTCCAGTTGCCGCAGTATCGGCATAATCTGTGTGAATCCCTGCTCCACAGTTGTGGGTTGTCGCTTGATGTTTTTATTGGCATGATTTCCACAGATTGCTGCCAGCAGAGCAACATGCTTCAGCGTTATTTTCCCGTTTTATATTCGATTGTGGGTCAGCTATTTTACATGATTCCGGTTTGTATAGTTCATTGAATGTGTGTTTGTTTATTTTTTGCTTTTATTCGTTATTGTTCCTGTACTTCGTATCATATCGTCGGTCTCATGCAATACTGTCCCAATTAATGTTGATTTTATGACTGAAATCTAATATAATGTCAATCCACCGCTAGAAAAACATACGAAATTTGAAAATAAGGTGTAATACAGTGATATTATTTGGTTTTTGTATGCTTTTTAACGGATATAAACGAAAAATGGTCAATTTTGAGATGTGATAGTTTTGTATTAAACCGACGATATGTGAACGTACATTTTACTTCAGATTAATTGTGGCTTATCTGGACATTCACACTTCTTCTAAAGAAATTATGCATGTTCGAGATGATTGGTGAGTTTATGAGCAGTTTTAGTGACCTCAGATTGCTTAGTTAATTAAAGGCTCATTATTACCAATTTGGACCATAGATTTTCTACCTTGTTCAACTCTTATTCCTCTTCGATCCTTGTTTGGACCCTATCCGTGGTAATCCTGCTTGGATATCGATTTGGAAAATTCCTCTTGGATCCTTCGGATTTTTATAGTAATTTGGTTGGAAGTCGATTTGAAGAAACTGTTCACTGCCGCCATGGTGCCTAAGCGCAAAAGAAAAGGGCAATCTCTTGGTCCCTCTTCCGATGACATTTATTTGAGCAATCAATTTGATATGCTCACGGATGAGGGAAATGCTCCATCATCCAGGCAAATTCCACTAAATTTTCCCGGTTTAATGCCAAGACCTTTTCCCCCTATTGCTATAACCACTTCCAATTTCCATGCTTCGTTAAATTCACCTTTTCACTTCAAATTGGCCGTTGTCGAAACCTTTGACGGATTCAAACGTCTTCTCCAGTATCTTACTGAGAAGCAACACAGATTTTTCACTTATGACACCAAAACTGAACGTCTGTTCAAGGTTGCCTTGAAAGGTCTGCACAGTGGTGAATCCCTGGATCAGATCAAAGATGAATTGACTAAATTACTTGGAGTTGAGCCAGACCAAGTAATCAAAATGAATATGAAAACCCATCCTGGCGATTCGCGCAACAGGACTTCTAATGATTTTTATTTAGTTCACTTCAATTGGACAGAACAAATCGGAATTCCTCCACTAGGTGGCGCTAATGATTATTGAAAGTGAATATATTTGTGCTGCTGTATCTCAAGATAAATAGCAAGGATCGCTGCTGTATCTTAAGATCCTGACTATTTAGACGGATGATTTCTGCGGCAAAGTTAATCAGGAGATCAAGGACTATTGGATGATGGACAGAAAATTTCGGAATTTCTCCGCTAGGTGGCGCTAGTGAGCATTCGAAGTGAATATGTTTGCGCTGCTGTATCTCAAGATGCTGACTATTTAGACGGATGATTTCTTCGGCAAAGTTGATCAGGGGGTCAAGGACTGTTGGATGATGGACAGAACTATTCGGAATTCTTCCGCTAGTTAGTGCTATCTATGATCTTCTCTGGCTATTACGTCCCAACTGTAACTTAACGCCTGCTCTCAACTTAGTGCTCTAGATGCACTTCCACAGTTGTTAATTGAAAGCTTTCCAAGCCTGTTCGATTTTTACATGTGTATATTGTGTGGCAAGTACAATAATATACTATGCCCAGGGAAGTCGATAAATTTTCCAATCTAAAATCCTAGACCAACCGGGATTCGAACCCAGCCACCTCCAGCATGGTTTGCTTTATAGTCGCAGGCTCTACCGACCAAGCTTATGGGGGCCCCCTGATCTATGAATGTAATCAAACTAAAATGCGAGATGGTAGCCTAATTGACAAGTTTTGAGGACAATTTGGTGAACCTAGAACGTCTTAAACATATCGAATTCAAACGTAAATAATATGCATGATATGCTTAACCCTGTTTGGAGATGTTTTAATACAAAGGGCTTTGAATCAGTGAGCCTGGATGAGAATTTGATCTGAACTCAAGGACAATTTGGAGAACTGTGAGTATCTTATACACCTCAAAATCAACTATAAACGAACAGCAGAAACTGTATAAACGTGTTTCGGAAAGTTTTGTCGGTGAGATCATCGTGCAGATTTTAGTTGATCCAGTAGATCAAATAATCTGACCTCTAGAACAATTTAAAGAAGCTAGAACTTCTAATACGGCTTAAATTGATGTAGTTTGGAGATGTTTAGTTGCTAAGGACCTTGTATCAGCTATGGTTGATCAGGTAAATCATTTGATCTGAGCTCAAGACAATTTGGAGAACCTTGATTATAAATCAAAATAAATCAAAAACGACCCGCAGAAACTTTATGAACATGTCTTTGTAGGTTTTGTCACTGAGGACATCGTGCAGTTCATGGTTGAGCCAGTAGATCAAATAATCTGAACTCCAAAGCAACTTGGAGAACCTAGAACATCTCATAGACCATCAATTACAACGAAAATGATGTGCATTATAGTCAATTGCAATAATTATAAAAAATTGCCAGAAAAATTTTCATTCTGTTGAAAAATGCCAAAATTAAGCGGAAAATATGAACCTCACTGTTTAAAACATCTTTTGAATTTTCAACATTCTTATATGGTGGACGTCACTTAATCGTAGAAACAGTGAAAACATATTACTCTTTCTCCGAAAATGTATGGTAACGTCACTTTATCTCCAGGCTTCCAAAACACATTTTTATCACGAAGAGAGTGTTTTCTGGTGTATCTTAGGGTATAGATTATGAATATGAAGAAAAGTGAAAATTGACCATGGTGGCATTTACGTCACTTTGTCATCTCACGGCAGTAAGGGCGTTGTACCGGTTATGACTGACCTGGTACATTATTTGATCTGAGATCAAGGACAATTTGGTGAACCTTGAGCATCATATATACATCAAACTGATCATGAGCGATGTACAGAACCTTTTTGAACATGTTTGAGCAAGTTTCGACGCTGAGGACATTGTGCAGGCCTTGGTTGCCAAATGATCTAAACTGCAGAATGCTTCGGATAACCTAGAACGTCACTTAAGCTTCTTATATACATCCAAATAGATCAAGAACGATGCGCAGTAACTGCTTGAACATGTTTGGGCAGGTTTCGCCGCTGAGGTATTTTGCAGGACATTATCAAAAAGTGATGACCGGGTCAAAGAACTTGTTATAATTTGATATTTTACTTTACTCGGGATTATGATTACATAGATCGCTACGGAATAGTTTCAAAATTGGTCATACAACTCCGGAGATAGGGCCGGAACAAGTTCTTAGTGTCTCAGGGAACATAACCAGCTGGATGGTCAATTTAATCGGCGATGGTCAAAAACACACAGTAAGGATCGGTTCTTTAAGAAGAATGCAGAGTGGCTTGAAAGCATATTCGAGGTAAGAATCCCTGGGCGTGCTTAATTTTAGAAAGCAGCATACTTTAACGAAGAAACGTTTTTAAAACGATACCGTCGAACATTAAAAAATTAACAGTTCGTAAAAATTGTACCTGTTGAGCAAAGTGCTAAATTTTCAAAAAACAACGGATTCCAAATCAATTTAAATTGAACTTGAATGAAAATTAGTAAAAGCGTAGAAATGCGTTAATGTAAAGCAAGACATACTACTGATAAAATCTGTTTTTGTTTATGTTACTAAATAATCAAAAGCATCAACCGCGATTAGAAGAAGATTTGTCTTTGATATTTGTATGAATATTTTATAAAAATCCTTAACAAAAACTACCGACTCTAAATTTTACGAAAAAATGCTTGAATATAATTCATCATCAATTATTTTATCAGGTCGAAGACCAACCCTCAGGATTCAGGCCTTCGAAAAATACGCGGGTCCATTCAAGGAAACCAAAAGATCCATCGTCACAATCATCTCCTATTTCACCTCCTTTTGCCACTCCGGATTTGGATACCAGTTCCAACAGTCAGCGAAGACCGTCAACTCTAAAGCCTCGAGGTCGAAAGCGCAAGGAGTTTAGCCAGCTAACAAGATTTTCGAAATACAGACGCAGTATCGGACTTTTCAAAGAACAAGGTCTTGATAGCTTGCTGTATTCAGCCAAAATTGCTGCCATAAAGGCTGCTAATCCAGCAACTGCTCACATCTTACAGCACTTGTTGAGCGGTGGTGAGGTTTGGGCAAAAGAGACCATCGAATCCGTTGACTCTGTTCGTGGAACATCTCTGTGTTCGGAGGAGTTATATTCATTTCAAATGCTCACTAGCGCCATCTAGCGAGAGAATTCCGGATTGCTTCTTGACCTGCTTATCAACTTTGCCGTAGAAATCATCCGTCTAAAAAGTCAGGATCTTGAGATACAGCAGTACAAACATAATAACTTCAAATACTCACTAGTGTCATCTAGCGGGGGAATTCCGAATTGTTCTGTCCATCATCCAATAGTCCTTGACCTCCTGATCAACTTTGCCGAAGAAATCATCCGTCTAAATAGTCAGGATCTTAAGATACAGCAGTGCAAACATATTCACTTTCAATGCTCACCAGCGCCACCTAGTGGAGAAATTCTGGATTGTTCTGTCCATCATCCAACAGTCCTTGACCTCCTGATCAACTTTGCCCAAGAAATCATCCGTCTAAATAGTCAGGAT